CCTGTGTGTGTGAGAATTTCTAATGTATTTAAGTACTTACACATGCAGTTTTCAGTGGGATGGAGAAACCAGTCTACCTGCTTTCTGTGGAAAGCAAAGCAACCAGCTCTGAAAGGCACCTGTAGGCAATGCTACAAACCTAAACCCCTCTGTCTTCCAGGACAGACGAATGGCTCTCGGCAGCAATAGATTGCTTGGAATACCTTCCGGATCATATGGTGGTGGATATTAGCAGGAACTTGCCTGATCAGCCAGATCAAGCAGATACATGGAAACTGCTGCTGTTTGACAATATTGGTAGATACTACAGCCAAAAAAAGGAGCCGCTGTTAAGCCACGCACCTGAAATCCATTTAGGAATTGCAGAGCTTTTAGGTAAGTAAAATAAAGCCGTGTTCCAATGCTTGTGTGAGATATGTATTGAGAAACTGAGTGTTTACCTCAGCAGCCAAGATCAAATATTGACTTCTGCAAGTAGTTTTTTTTCCTTTTCACTCCTAGCCATGAAGACTGTGCTTGATTTTGGTCCTGACTTTTATGCAGTTCTGTAATCTTTGCTTGGGTCTGTGTAGAATGGCTGTGAAAATGGAGCACTATAATTTGGTAGCAATTGGTATACGTGGAAGTTAAATATCCATGGGAAATGAAACATAAATATGGCCTAATATTAAATATTTATGCTATGAGAGCTAAACTGAAAGCTGTATAGATGCTTTGTACCCCATTCACAACTTTTCTTGTTTTTTTTTTTACACAGAAATGTTTCTTAAATTTTGCTTGGACAACATTTTAGAAAGCTTTTGATGTTTTAGTCCTCAATTAACATCTTATCCCTGTTCTCCATGTTTTTCATCCTATTTCTTGTTCCATGGGAATAGTTTATCCTGTTGGTGGGAATAGTTTGCATTTATATCCTATTCCTCCTGCCTACATGAGAAAGGGATGATATTAGTATAACCTACTTCAATTAAATAATTCACATATCTAAAATGGCTATTCTGCATAGTAAGGCAAATTAAAACTTAGCCAAGCTCTACAAAGTGGTTTGCAGTTAATTCCTCACACTAGCCTGTGTATTTAGAACATATTTCTCATTTTTTGGGAGATCTTTATTTCCACAACAAGAGCTCACTCATTTCTTTAACAGAACCATTTTCTCTTTGCAATATTTCACATCCCATTCAAGATGGCTGAACTGTAATTGAACTTAATTGCAAGTGAGCTTACTTAAATATCAGCCTGAAAGCCTGTATGTTGGATGTTCTCAGACTGTCTGCAAGCAGCTCTCATTAACCTGTGAGAAGTTTTTGTGAGAATTAATTGCTTAGTTTGACCAGTTCTGTGTAGAGAGATGAACATCTCTTCAGTGGATATTTAGGTGTTTTATTGCAACATTTATGTAAATAAATATGGCAATAGATACCCTTATCTCTCCCCAGTGAATGGGAAGATGGAGCAATCTTTAGAAGCTGTTCAGCTGTATTTGAAACTTCTAGACAGCCAAGTCAGGGAGGAGTTCAGGAGACTGTTGTACTTCATGGCTGTTGCAGCACACAATTCTGAGCTCAAACTACAGAAGGAGGTAAGTGTGTACTTAATAGATGCTTTACACTTACTGAAATCTAGAGGTCACAGACACTGGTAAGAAAACATGTTTGTAGCTTAAATAGGTGACTACAGGAAGAGCAATGACTCTGGAAGAACAATGGGGGAGACTAACTCTCTTCTTTTCGTCCTTAATTCATGTTGTTCTTTAGAGTGACAACAGAATGGTTGTGAAAAGAACATTCTCTAAAGCTATTATCAACAATAAAAACTTATCCAGAGGGAAGACTGACCTCCTGATCTTGTTCCTTGTGGACAACCAAAGAGATGTGTTAAAGGTAAGAGCTAGAAAATGACCAGGTTTTGGCTAATCTTGTATGCCTATGCAGAATTGCCTTTTCTAAGATGCATTGTCATCTCTTTCTCTTCAAGATCCCAGGGACTCTGCATAAGATGGTCAGCAATAAACTGCTGGCTTTGCAGAAAGGCCAGGATCCCAGTAAGATAACAGGTAACAGTTCAAACTGAGCTTTTTAATCTCGTCATGCACCCAAAACGAGAAATAGGTGATGCAAAAAGACTTGGTGTAATGATGACTAATTTGACTCTAAAGGAGGATGGGTCTGTGGAATCCCTAGGGTGGCTGAGTGTGGTGTTAGCTCTGAATGTCTCTTGTTTCCTTTTAGGCTATACCTTTTGCCAAAAACTTGATGAAAGAGAGTATCGCTCCAATACGGAGAAGACCACGAGAGATGAGCTGTTGTCTCTGTTGAAAGCTATCGATGAAGACTCAAAGCTCTCTGACAAAGAGAGAAAGAGACTGCTAGACCAGTTTCATAGTAGTAATCCAAGTATTTTTATGCAGTATTTTGGAGACAGAGTTACTAATATGTGTGTGTGAGACTTTAAATAGAGATTACTTTGTATACTCCAGCATTGAAAACACTAATATATTTGTAAATTTTTGTATTCATGTATTGTGCCTAATAAAGTTATTTTGTGGAAATGGATGGAATGTATTCAGTTATTACCAAAGCCAACAGTACAACAGTAGCCTTTATTTATAGCTTAGCTTTTCTCATTCTTAATTGCTATCGGATCAAAATAATCCTTCCTTTTCCTCACCTAAAGCCAAGTCTATTGACTCCCTCTCTTCAAATATCAAAATTCCTGAGGTGGAAGACACCATGAATGAGATGTCTCTCTCACCTTTTCCCTCAGCACTGAATCTTATGCTGAACATTTTTTTTCTAATTTGCCTTGCATTATGTGACTGACACGTAGCATTGATCTTTGCCTTGCTGTGTAATGGACAGAGCTGAAGAACATCTCCTGCTTGATGTTCCACAACTTTCCTTCAAGCTTGCCAGCTAATGATACTGTCTATGTGTATGACAAATTACTGTGCTGTTTTAAGCTAAAATGGCACCATATTGAGGAATTGGCTGTCCTGTGATGGTAAAGATATTCTGGATTTTTGAATCAGTCTGGCTTTGGTTGCCACAGGATGTACTGTTTATGACTGGTTATCTTCATCCCTGCAGTGTTTTGCTCTGACTGTAACTCTTATTGATGGCACCAGCTGTAATTAGAAAAGAGCTGGAGCAGAGGAAAGGCCTTTGGCTTGTCTTGTGGCTGTATAGTTTATCTGTGTCTGGTCTACGGTGGAAATCCCAAGCTTTGCAACACAGGCAACTGCAGGCAGATATAGAGCATGATTAGAGATCTAATTTTGGCTCTTGTGGGGTTATCTTTGGGATGATATCAGCCAAACTTCGTTACAGCTGCTGTTGAAAGAGATAACAAATTTTGTTCCATTTCTGTTCTATTCTATTTGGGAACAAAAGCTAGTTTAATTATGACAACAAAGTAGAAATAACTGTTACAAGCACGTAGTGATCTGATTTTTAAGAACACAGCCCCATGTGAGATACTGTAATGTCTCCCTAAGTAACTCTTCAGTCATTAGTGGTGTGTGGTGCCCAAATGCTTTCTGTGAGACAGAGCTGAGGGCTTGGTGTGCAATAAGACAGTGTGTTACTGTGTCCTGATGGGGGATGGATGACAAACGTGTGAAAACCTTATTCTAGTCGGTTAGAAAGGACTTCTAAAAAATGTCCAGTTCTAGTAGTGGAGGGGGGGGGAGTATAACCCCTTTTTATTAGTTATATTTCGTAGTTCTTAGTCTTAACTGAAAGCTTTCTATTATAAATGTACTTCCTCAGAACAGTTGGCTTAACTTACACTTTAAAATGTGGGGGTGGAAAGGCAGTTCCTTGTTCTTAGGAAAAATATGTTAAAATAAGTTACTTATGGCGCTGCATTGGTTCCCCCTTCAGCAGAAGCGTATTCCCTTTCTAACTCCTCCCTAATGTAACATCGTGGTTAAGAGGATGTGATTTCTATCTTGAAAATGAGTTCCTGCCTGTGGGCATTGCCTGCTGCAGTGAGAGTTCTGAATTACAGATCCTGCCCTGTGAGTTAGTGAGCTGGCTCTGCTGCCAAGTTTGCTTTCAGGGTAAGGAAAAGCAGCCTGCAGGGAGGAATGGGGCTCGAATGTTCACCAGTGGGCACAAGGCAGGGTCAGCATGGCCTTTCCTCTGCTTGGGGTGGTACAGCTCCTCCAAAAGTACCTAAGATTTCACTTGGGCGGAACTGCTGTGAGCTGGATGAGGTGTCTTAAGGACAGCAAGGACAAGCCATGGCTGCTTTCCCTGCTTGCTGGGTGGGTTTAATGTGAATCGGTACAGTGTGGTTGGAGCAGTTGTACATCTCTCTATCCCTCTATGTTAGAGCACAAGTCCTATGAGGAGCAGCTGAGGGAGCTGGGGTTGTTTAACCTGGAGAAGAGGAGGCTCAGGGGAGACCTCATCACTCTCTACAACTCCCTGACAGGAGGGTGTAGCCAGGTGGGCATCAGTCTCTTCTTCCAGGCAAGCAGCAGTAGGACAAGAGGGCACGGTCTTAAGCTGTGCCAGGAGAGGTTTAGATGAGACATTAGGAAGAAGTTCTTTACGGAGAGACTGACTAGGCATTGGAATGGGCTGCCCGGGGAGGCGGTGGAGTCACCGTCCCTGGAGGTATTTAAGAGACTGGATGTGCCACTTAGTGCCGTGGTCTAGTGGACAAGGTGGTGTTAAGTCAAAGGTTTGACTCGATGACCTCAGAGGTCTTTTCCAACCTCGTTCATTCTGTGACTCTGTAGAGCCCCGGCGCAGGTTATTGGGGCGCAGCCCTTGCTCTGTTTGGGGTCGGGACCTCGCTCGCCCCAAAGCCGCCGGGAGCCCTGAGGGCTGTCGGTGCTCCATCAGCGCGGAGCAGAGCTGCTCCTCACCCCTTCCTTGAGGGAAAACCCCCGTTCCGGCGCGGGGGCCCCTCGCCCCGCCCGGAGGCCGCCGCGGCCCGCCCTGCGCTGGGGCTGCGGCGCCGGCCCAGCCCCGCTCCGCGGCCGCCGCCGGGAGGGAGCCGGGCCCGTCAGCGCCGGCGGCCGCGGCCCCTGCCCGGCCGAGCGGCGGTAAGAGGGGGCGGCCCCGGCCCGGGGGGCGGCCCGGGGGCCCGGGGGCGGTGGGAGGGCGGGGGGCGGCGAGCAGGGCCCGGGCCCGGCACCGCCGAGGGGGCGCCGCGGCGGCCCTCCGGGCCCGGCCGGGTAGGGCCTGCGGCCGGGGCCGCGGGTGAGGCTCGGCTTGGGTGAGCTCGGCACTGCATCCCCGTGCTCCCTGCGCATCCACAGCCGCCCGGGCTCGTTTTCCCCCGTGGCCCATTGATGAGGCCTCGGCAGCGGCGCCGGGGAAAGAGCGGTGCCCGGGCCGGGGCTGCCGGCGGGCGGGGTGGGATGGGGACGGCACCCCGTGTGCTCCCTCGGGAATGGCGCTGGGAGGGACCGGGGAGGGCCTCACGCGGAACGGGCTGCGGAGGGGAAAACTGCGGAATTTCACAAGCGTCCCTTGTCATTTGGAAGGGGGGACGGGGCTGCAGCTCGCCTTTTGCTGGGCTGCGAGGGAAAACAGGCTGCGATGTGGCAGGTGAACAGAGAGAGAGCTCAGCGCTGGAATGAAGCCCGAGGCAGGGCAGCCCTCGGGGTCAGGGCAGCTGTCAAGCGCTGTCTCCTGCAGAGCAGTGGGGCAGCGCTGGTGGTGAGAAGGAACTGCTTCAACCTTGGTCAAGGTGTGCTGGTGGTGTGCATCTGATGGTTTGAGGACCTTTAGCGAAAAGAGCCGGTGGAAAAATGTTTTGTTTAAATTTTAATCTGCTGGGGTTTTCTGCTGCGTTTCTGTTTTTATTAAAAATAAATGAAAGTGCCAAGAAGTAGGCTTTGCTCCATTAAGAGGCAGAATTGTTTCTGTGAAAGGAAAGATGATGATTGTGCTTCTGGAAGAGGTATTGTCGAGCTTATTTACCCAGTGGAAAGAGGATATGTTCTAGATGTGTTCTGGCAAATAATAGCAGTAATCCAGCAGAAAAGAGTAGACTATTGCAAACTAAACAACTAAACCAACAAGTGTGCCTTTTTAACTCATCTGCTGAACAGTCACTTGGTAGAATGGCCCAGGAGTTCTTGTACCTGCCTTCCACAGCTGAAATAGGACTTTTTTTAAACAAATGGTAATTAAATGAAACTTTTGGGTTTGAGGCTGTAGCTCTTGAGCTGCCATTTTATGGAATGTAGACTGCATGGTCAGAATGATGGCCTGGTGGGAAAAGCTGGGGGTAGCAGTCATGAGACTGATTGTCATCTTATCCCTGTCATTTATCTTCTGTGAGTCCTCAGGCAACTTAACTCACACCTCAATTTCCTCTCTGTAAGTAAGGTATATTGTATTTCCCTGCTTTTCTCAGCATAGTGAGCCTAAAGTGCAGTGAGAGATTGAGAGGCACTAGGAAGTGTTATGTGCTTTAAAGACTTAAGTGTGTTTTGGTTGAGTCATCTTTGTGGTTCAGATTTTGACTTCAGGAGGATGCTTTGTGGATGAGACCGGATAGGAAGAGTGGCTGTCTAGTCTGGTGGAATGAATGTGGAAGCCTTTATGATAATGCTTTTATCCCAGCCCAATTCAACAACAGGCCTCCCTCCTTTGTTTAACCAGTCCTGGTTTTTATTTTATATTGCAACTTGTTGCTATGATCTCTTTTGTGAACAACTCCTTTATTAACAGAGCTCCTCATCCTCTTGCTGGTGGAGTGTTTGCAGTAACAGACCTTCTGTCCCCCAGATGGGAGATCCACTTCTCCTGGAGTGTGTCACTGGTTTCCCACTGGTTTCCCAGTTCCTTGCTGGGTGGGATGCCTGCAGTTACACCCAGCTGGAGGCTCTCTCTGCCTTGGTTCAGAGGGTGGCAATGTGACTGCAGCTGTGCACAGATCACCCCTTCCATGTCCCAGCCTTTGTGTGTGTGAAGAGGGACATAGTGAAGCATTTGGAGCAGGGACATCAGTGACTGTTCCAGCTGTAGGCCAGTGTATGATTCTAACAATACCTGTACTGATGCCTTGGTTTTCCCATGTAATTTATCCCATGCTTTTTGTGCTGTTTCCTTTTCTAAAATAGAAATCACACAGTGCTGTGGGCAAGTGTTGCATGCTGTTGTCTCTCATGCATCAAGCAAGATGATGATCCTGAGTCATTGCTGTGGAACAAAACTGTTTCTTACATGCCCTGAGCTTTCCAGCTGTCCTGTAGAATCCCACTGGTGCAGTCAATTTAAGCACTGATGGAGCAGGGTTGGTTATTACAGCTGTTGTATGAAAATAAAAAAGTCTCAGTGTGCATTTTATATTTCTGTTCTGTTGCTTGCTTCTGCTGCTGTTTTCTCCTAGTAGCTGGGAGTTGCCTCTGGAGGGTGAATCTCTTGCTCAGAGCTTGTTTCTTTCAAATTTTGAAAGTGGGGATGGTGAGATACCAGAGGAAAGAGGAAGTTTTTCCAGAAGCTTTCTTTTATTTTGAAAGGCAGAGTCTTTCTGACTCCCACTTCACAGAACATCCAGGCTATTTAATTGAGTTAGAGACATCATATGCTCTCTAACAGATCTCTGTAAAACTGAAATCTTAACAGCAGCTTCCTGCATGACAGTTTTCATGGTGGATGTACAAATTACATTCTTCAGAGGGAAATCTGAGTGTGAAATAAGCAAAGATAATGAATGGTGAGACTTGCTTTTCTTATGGTAATTTTTTCATTATAACTTTGGCTACACTGCATGTGTCTGTGATGTAATAAAAATATTTTGGTAATATAATAAAAAATTAATGTAATAAACTAATATTTTAAATACTATAACTGCTCTTTACTGTCTTTATTAAAAACCCCTGAAATTTTATGCATAAATCATGACTCTTGCATGAAATGAAAATATGGGAGTAGAATTTTATATTGATTTCTCTCTAGTCCTTTTCCTGCTCCTTAATGCTTTTGGATGGCTCAGAGCAAAAGCTTTTAAGTTCTGAGCAGTTGGGGTAGATCATAGTTCAGGAGTATGTTATGCTGAGGAAGACTTGTTGCTGTGTAGTGAGGAAACATCTCATTTGACATAATCTTTTTGTAAAACATTTCTGGGATACTGTTCTGAAGGTCTTTTTCACTGCTCTCTCAGAAGCAATGCTGAGAAAGAGAACTAAATATCTTTTTCTCTCTCATCTGTATCATTATGGCAAAAGGGAGCAGTTTCAGATTTTTGAGAACTTAGTAGGAATGCAGATTAATAAATGGTAGCTGTGTTGAAAGCATCCCATTTAGTGGGACATGGGAAGTGAGTCACTGAGTCCAGGTCTCCTACCATTATAGGGATGACATCATATAATTCCTCATAAGAATTCTTTCATTCTTAATTTTTTTCTCAATCAAGAGAACTCCTGGTGATGTTTTCCCACTCAGCCATGTCATAAAATGCTTATTCATTCCCTTTTCCATATTTTTTCTTTTTTTTTTTTGTAAGGAACCAACTGAAAATGTCTCAGAATCCTGACAAGCTACACTCAAGTGAAGAAAGGCTGAGTGGTTTGGAGGATGGTCAAGAGGAGAACTCGGACAACCCGGATCAGTCTGTCCGAAAAAGGATCCGGCAGAGCGCTCCAGGGTCACACAGAGATGACACACCCAAGTGTAAGCAAAACTGCTTTATATGAAATATAATTTAAAAAAAAAAGATCTATAGGTTTTGGTGAAGGCAATCCTAATGTTTCATACCATTCTGTGCAAGTTTGACTGTCTTGCAGTGACTCCTGATGGTTTGCTCTGAAAGTGTTTGTAACACCCTTTTCCCCATTTTTTTTAGTACTTAATTATACACAGTGACCATGTTGCTCTGATCCCCATATATCTTAAATACCCTGGTGTGTCTGTGCTCATGGAAGGGGTAAAGCACCATCCTGGGGTGTTCCAGCTACTGCTGCTGCTGTTTGCCTTATCAGCTGAACCTTCTGGATTGTTGCAGCCTCTGTTTCCACTGCAGGGCAAGGAAGGCTGTTATCAACAAAGGAATGTCCTGTCATCCCCCTCACAGTATAGATGGAAAGTTGTATATTTTATCCTAATACTACTTCCAGTGTCAAGCAGGACTGCATATTTTAAGCTTATTCCTAAGGTGTATTTTTCCTTGTCATTCTGCTTTTAACATGAGGAGCTGGATGCAACATGGCTACCAAATATTCCTGGCAAATCTATAGATGAAACCAAGGGGAGGTTTTCTGGCTCCAGGGGTTCAATTCAAAGAGGCAGAAGTGCTCAGATAACTAGTTCTAAATTTCTGTAGAGAGTGTCTCAGCCTGTAACATTTTGTTTGTTGTATTTTTTTTTTGTTTTTTTTTAAATGGAGTTCATTATTACTTGAGGTTTAGTGTTGTGTTTAGTGTCATGTTACACAGAAGAGACGTTCTGAGGGAGTTTATGTTCTTATGCCCTGCTGGTTGCCTGACAGAAGACGGGATGTATGTGTGGAGAGAGGCTCTGAACACGGGAAAGTAAAAAGCATAGCACAGTCTTGCACTGCATTGTACCCCAAAGAAATGGTTGGTTTCAAGCCCTTCCCTTGTTTAAGGGAGCAGATGATGTGATTTAAGAGTGTTCTGTGGCAAATGAGAGTCTTGGCTTTTAGTGCACCCACTGCTGGAGTGAAGTCATTTGGCAGTGGGACAAGAGCACTCTCATTCAGCTGTGAACTTTGCTGTCTGCTAGTGCTTCTCAGAATATCAATCCTTGCTGTGTTCCCGGAGTCACCCTGCAACATTAAGCTCCAAGCAGAAGGAAACAAGGATTTAGGAGGGCTGCAGCAGAAGAGCAGGATATTAATGATAAATTAGCACGTTGGAACCACACTGCATATACTCAGAAGAGCTCTGAGTGGCAGACAAGTGATGGACAGCTACTTTTAAAGACCTTTTCTATGTAATTTCCTAAGTCAAATCAGCATGGGTTATCAAATGAGACTGTCATAATAGTTTGCCTAAAACATATCTCAGTGAGCCCAGCCCATGAAGATCCCTGGTTCATTTCTTTCATTTTGGGATTAGTGTGTTGCTGTAATTGAAGTGAGTGATGTACAGAGAGGAATGGATCCATTGGGGCAATTCTGCTGTGGCTCTTTCCCCCATTCCACTCCACAAGGTGTCTTCTGGAGGAGCCAGGGTGAACCTCGCCATTCCTGCCTGCCTCACCTGAGGACACTAATGATCTGCCTTTCTCCTTTTTCTCAAATACCTGGACCAGGGAAGAGCTGTGGTGCTTCTCCTGACTTTTGGGAGGGCATTGCAGGGCCCCCACACACACTGTGTGCACTGACACTGCACAGCAGGGAGGACCCTTTACCACAAAGAATCAGTGCTTTCAGATGGCTTCAGTGAGATGGGATTACTCCCCTAAACCAGTGACCTACACCCTTGGCACCTTCTCTGCCTTTCTGTTGACTTATTTTTAGGGCTATGACACCTCCTGCACTACAACAATGCCACTGGTGGCCCAGGAGGATGTTGTGTAGCCCAGAACTATTAGGAGCCGTAATTCCCAGTACATCCAGGAAGCAAATTAAGTTTTTTGAATTGTCTGCCTTCTACCTGCTAGATTTCCACAGTCAGTCACTACCTTTATCTCCTTCCTAATGAAAACCATCCTGTTTTTTCAATGTTTGGTGCTTCCTGCTACTCACTTATGTGCCCCAGGGCCCAGTTTGAACCTGCTGGTCCATCCTGGTCAGTCCCAAATGCCTACCAGGGAAAGAGGTCTTAGGCATTGGAGCTGGGAGTAGGTCTTGACATCCTTTGTTGCTTGGATGGTGGCCTCTGGGGGAAAAGAAGAGCTAGGAGGAGTGCCAGTTGCACTGGAAGTAATGAGGATAATTAGCTACTGGTGTGTTACTGCTTAACACTTTTGTGATTTGTTTGCTGGCTGCTTTAAAGATGAAATAATTTCCCTGAAAAATGTAAAATTGAAATGGCAATGTCTACACAATACTTGTGGAAATAGTGTGGTGAAAATGCTGGTGATTTTAATTATTTCTTCCCACAGTATGGAGTAAGATGTTAAGATGCTATTAATCCATCATAAAGAAGTACTGGTTTGGGTGTGGGGGTTTTGTTTGGGCTTGGTTCTTAAAAGAGCTTGATAGAACTTGGAAGCAAGTTCTGAGCCCTGAATATCAACTGGGACTCGCTCCTTTGCTTTCTGTAATACTCCAAACCTGTGTCATCCACTAGATGGGAAAGGAAGGCAAAACATCTTCAGGTGACACTGCCATTTGACCCTCTGTACTGTCAGTAAGGTGGAAAGGGGCCAAAAGTCTTAGGAGACTTTATTTTCTGCAGGCTTTTGTAGAGAACTGTCTGACAGTGTAATTCGTGTTGCAGCCAGTCCTCCTCGGCCTGTGTCCATAGAAGAGCTCATGGAAACAGCCAAGGGAGTCACCAACATGGCATTAGCACACGAGATTGTTGTCAATGGAGACTTCCAGATTAAACCAGCTGAATTACCAGAGCACAGGTAAGGTTTTTACCTAATATATCTATTAAAATATATCTGTAGATAAAGTTTGCATTTGTAGAACTGCATTTCTGTTAGGTTTACTAATGACTTTTACCTGGTAGAATTGCCTTTACTTAGTGAGGCCTTTAAAAGGAACATGAATACTGGTCTTTTGAAGACACACTGTAATTTTTGTGATTTATTTTTTGATTTATTTTAGTTGTCTAGTTTAGGTGTAGCATAGGATGAGCTTTCAAGTACTTTAATTTGTAGCCGGCTTTGCTTGTGTGTAACCCTTTATTAGGACATAGGCCATTCCAAATCCTGCATCCAGTTTTTCTTGCTTTTCCAAGGAACATAAAATGACAGATCTCTTCTCTGTTAATCATCATATATTCATTATTACGTTATATTCATATTATTACGTGCTCTTCCTCAGGAGCTGTAGGTTATCTTTGTAAGGTGGTGCAGAGACAAGTCTCCTTCTTTCTAACTGGTCACATCTACCCACAGCTTGGAAAAGAAAGTAAGAGACATTGTGCATAAAGCTTTCTGGGATTGTCTGGAAGCTCAATTAAAGGAAGAGCCACCAACATATGATCATGCAATTAAACTGTTGGGAGAAATTAAAGAGGTAAGATGATGTGATACCAAGGTAAATTATTGAATTTGAGTAGTGCATTGATATGAATGAGCAAAAGTGGTCGAAGCTTGGCTTTTCATAAAAGACTCTCTTGTTCTTTTTCATTACTGTATCATTGTCTGTGAACATATATAAGTTGTATAACCCCAGAGGAGAAATTTGAATTTAAAGCCAAATGCAAATCCATGTAAGATGATTAAAAGGTAAGTAATACCAGTTTCATAATCCCAAGCTTCCTTCATGTTATGGCAGCAATATTAGTTATGGAATCAATGGGATGCCCCAACACTGGGCTGATAAAACTGAGCACAACAGTCTGAAGTATGATCTGTGCCATAGAGTATTTACCACTTAGTAACTTCAGTATCACACAGAACAAGGTAAAACATCTGGAGTTGGTGAGTGGTTGGTTAAAAAAAAAAAAGAGAGAAATTCTACTTTTAAAGGGCAATTAATTTAAATAAGAATATGCCCCATCCCTTGAAGTGTCCAAGGCCAGGTTGGATGGGGCATTGAGCAACATGGTCTAGTGGGAGGTGTCCCTGCCCATGGCAGGGGGCTTGGAACCAAATGATCTTTATGGTCCCTTCAACCCAAACCATTCTGTGATTCTATGACTCTGTAAGAAGTGGTTTTGATCCTTGTGCTCTTTGATATGTAGAACTAATGCACTGTTAAAAACCTTCCATTGCAGAATCTCCTGTCTTTCTTGTTACCTGGTCATACTAGACTGAGAAACCAGATTACAGAAGTTCTTGATCTGGATTTGATAAAACAGGAGGCAGAAAACGGGGCCCTTGACATTTCTAAGTTGGTCAAATTTGTTATTGGGATGATGGGGACTCTCTGTGCTCCAGCTCGAGATGAAGAAATTAAGAAACTGAATGATATTCCTGAAATAGTTCCTCTGTTCAGGTACTGAAATGGTGTTTATTAGTCATGTTCAGAGTCCCTTAAATAGTTTTAGATGTGTGTTTGGGGGGGTGTTCCAGCAGGGCAACCTGCAGCTCCTAGGAAAGAAAAGAGTGATAGGGAAAGGGAAACAGCTGTGGGTGTGAAGGGGAGAGATGCTCCAGGAGTCATTAACAAGGACCATCTCTGTTCTGGTGAGTTGGGGTATTTGTCTGGCTCCTGCATGTCAGTGAAGGACATTTTCTTAAATGCCAAATGCATATAAGCCTTAAGACAGCAGGTGAAGAGTCAGTTTGTATCAAAAATTAACATCAACAGCAAAAGGAGAAAAAAAGCCCACAGGAGCATAGGGAAAAAGTACTACTGGTTTCCAAACAGTTTGTCCTTTCTTTCCAGTTTGAACTCTCTTTACCCCACTCCCTGTGTAAAGTCCTGTCAGTTCTAAAGGGAGTGTGTTGTACCCACATCTGGGAGCATCAGGGCTTCTGCTCTGTCACCATATTCTCAATTCAAGGTCTCAATAGTCAGAAGTTTCACTAACCTTGCTGTTTTCTAATTTGCAAAGCTTCCAAGAGTTCAGGATTGACTTGGCAGAATTATGGCCAGCAGGAATTAGGTTGTTTTAAAATTAAAATGTTATTTGGTGGGGGTTTTTTGTGTTTGTTTTTTCTTTTTTTTTTTTCCCTTGGGTCTGATTATTCACTTCCCACTGAGGTTGGCTTTCTAGGCTGCCAACAGAGAGAGCATGCAAGCTTGGAAACCCAGATGGCTTTTTATATACTCAAGATACAGCACTGCACATCCTGGGAGATGTAATCTATGGAGCTAGTGAAGTTAATTCCATGGAGGCTTTTTTACAGGAGAGCAAGATTTCTTTCCCACTTGGAAGAGGCACATGCATGCATGTACATGCTTGCTCAAGCTTTCTCTCTGTCTCATGCTTTTAAATGGTTAAGCACCCTGTTACTGTTTCCCATGCATGTTTTTGCTCTTTCCTTAGACAGCCTGTAATAAATCTTGTGAACAGCACCTCTGAAACATCTGCAGCCTTGAATAACTTTTTCTGTTTGTTTGTTTAGAGCCATTTTCTCTGTATTAGACCTAATGAAAATGGATATGGCAAACTTCGCTGTCAGTAGTATTAGGCCAAAATTAATGCAGCAGTCTGCTGAATATGAAAGAAAGAAGTTTCAGGAGTTTCTTGAGAAACAGCCAAGTATGACTTTGTTCCTTTCTTTCTTCCCCTCTGACCTCCTAGTAAACTGCGTGTCTTTGCTTGTAGAACATGAAAAAAAACTCAGATATTTTTATAAGTTCATATGGTAAATGACAGCTCGTGCCCCAAAACTGTGGTTAGAAAAAGTCTGCCAGAACTATAGTTCTGCACTTAGTGCACTGGAGTCCAGTTTAATCTCAATACAGTGTAGGGCATGATTACCCAGCATCATCTCACCTCTGATTTCCTGTAGCTGTGTGGTTTTGTTTTAGATGTTCTGCTTGATGCAATAAATGAAATGCATGTCATCAATTGATATCATGGGTATTAGTCATAGTAACTAATGGGCTTGTTTGGAAATTATTGGTGGAAAAACCTAACTTTGAGAGGGAATTTTCCTAACAAGATTTTTTTCCCTTGCTCCTCCAGATTCTTTAGACCTTGTCACAAAGTGGTTGCAAGAAGCAGCGGATGATCTTGCAAAGCTGGGACATGAAATGTTGCCTCCCCACTCCAATGATGGTGCTACTGGTGGGGCCTCCACCTTGTGCTTCACTGCTGTACAAAATCAGGCCTATCTGAAACTTCTAAAGTGGGATCATGTGAACAGGCCTTTTCCAGAAGTAGGTATTTAACAAAAAAAACGGGTGCTGTGCTTGTTCTGCTCTTCTGTTTCTGGGACATAACAGAAGCTGTTCAGATTTGTAGCCTTGCGACAAGTGCAATACTGAAACATTTCTCTCTTCATTGGGAGCTTCTTGTACTACTTCTCTTTCAGTTCTGAAACCTGCTTAGTTGGAAAAGAGGGGTTAATGCTTTTCCTTTCGCTCCTGGTGCTGTCCTGCTGAGCATCTTGCTCTTCCCTGTGTCACTGTCGAACCTTTTCTGTCGCATCTCAGTGTCCCTTCCCAGCCCAGCAAACTGACCCCGTCCTGTGCTGGCTTCCTCACTCATTACAGACAGTGCTCATGGACCAGACCCGCTTCCTGGAAATACAGCTGGAGCTGGAGCAACTCCTCCTGGTTGGGACAGTGCTCCTGGTCACGTTCAGTGCAGCAGGCCCAGCACTTGTTGATGTGCCTGGATTTGCGGAGAAAGTCAAAACCATTGTCAAGGTGCTGCTGACGGGAACGCATCTTCCGTGAGTATGGCATGGTCCTGGTCACACAGGGGCAGGTGTAGCTCTGTTTTCACCCTGGTAAATAACCAGTGTAAACCTCTCTGTCTCCTCCTGGACTGCAGGATATGCAGAGAAGGTGCTGAGGGCTTCCTAAGAAGCCAGGCTGACAGTTTTATTTCAACTCGCTCACTTGGAGTTGTCTTTTCTTGCTCTGCTCTTTTATGAAGTGTCCACACTGCTTTTCCAGTGTGCTTTTATGATGCCAGGCTGGCACATGAGGCTGCCAGCAGCTAACCCTGCCCATGGTTTGGGCCAGGCTTCCACAAGAAGCTGAGTGTGGCACAGTGAGCTGCCTGCAGATTTAGAGTGATTGCTGTACACACAAGGGTTGGTGACTGGTTTGGCATTAGTCAGAGCTGTCTGCAGGCAGAAAGTCAGCTCTTGTGTGTATGGATTGTTCAGGCTGGAAGTCTTTAATGCTTTCCTACTTCCTTGGTTTGGAGGTCACCTTTATTTTTCATACATCTCTAAAAGGTACTATTCTTTATAATTCTGGCTTTTGTCTGCATTATGCTTTTCCCGTTGCATTTGATAAATAAGGCAACTCTAATTGAAAGGTTTATTTTTAAAAGGTGAGAAAAAAAGTAAATATCTGGTTCAGTAATGCTCTACTCCACGTTCTGTAGCTCCTTTAACCTGAAGGAATCTCTGGCCACCGTCGGGGAGAAGGTGTGTGCCGAAGTGAACAGCTGCCTTTCCCAGCACGGCTTTACACCGTTCTCAGCGGAGAGAGAGACTGTGCTTAAAGGGCAGATCCAAGCAGTGGCCAATCCAGATAACACCATCTGCAGGCTCATAGGTACGTCTGGCACTGCTGCTCTGCTCTCCTGTGACCGTTCTCTGTGTAACTGGTGTGGGGGGGTGTCGTGCTGGGCTTCCCATTTCATGTCTCAGATACTTGACTGTGTTTCAGGCCTGTTGCGTTTTACCTGAGATTACACCATTTCTAACGGACCCTCTCTTTTGAAAACAAACCAAGCCCCATTTTTTTCCAGATTCTCGAATTCAAAAGTTTCTGGAGAATTATCTTGCATCCAGTCACCAGAAAACACTACCTGCTATCCCTGGAGGGTTAGGCCCTATCCAAAGAGAGCTGGAAGAGGTCGCTGCCAAGTACGTTCGTCTCGTCAACTACAACAAAATGGTCTTCAGCCCTTACTATGATGCAGTCCTTGGCAAAATACTGACTAAGGAAGAATCCCAACTTGTAGGGAAGCCAGAAGAGTCATAAACCCAGTTTGTGTGCTACCCACACGGTATTGTCAGCTATTAAATAAAAATTGTACCAATATTTGTCTAGGAAAACAGCTTTCCGTGTAAATACTGGTTCCTTCTAATTCACGAGCGATGGTCGATGGAGGAAATACACGAGGTGCAAAAGGGGTTCTGAAGTAAATGATGAGAGATGCATTTTTAATGTAAGGATGCAACCTAGGGGGGAATATCATGGCAGTTTTCTGGCTGTAATTTTTACATTTTGGAGCTGATTCTAGGTAGGGCAAGTTTAAGAACAAAACTTCGTATTTAAGTGGCTCATTTTAGGGCATTTAACTCTTAGTTTACAGTGAATTTAGTTTAATTAATCCAGAGCAGTTTAGCAATGGTTCTTCCCAGAAGAGGTGATACGGTTTTAAAAAAAATCTTACTTTAAAGAATTAAGAAAGCTAAAATTCTAGATAAGAGGAACTTCAACAGACACAAACCCAACCCAAACAGCACTTTATTGTAACATTATGGTCACTATGGTAGGCTACTAGTTTTTTCTGCATTTTACTGCATTTTTAATAGCATTTTTTTGCTGTTTACCTGCAGATGTTAGAAAACATAATATATTTTTGTAGTAAATTTTCTGGTTATTGGGTAACTGTCCTCTGCTATGTACAGTACTTACAAAGGTGGCAATCTTATAGATTGCAGCTGTATTTATCTCTTGTAAAGACTTAAGAAGGGCAGAGCTAAAATGTTTTGATAAAAGTGGTATTTCTTACCTTGTTTTGCTAGTAGTTTCCTCCTTTTTATGTGAGATACTAATTTTAAAGTAAATCTGTGTCACTTTCAGAAGGTGGATTTAAAGTGTGTGAAACTTCAGGCTGGAAAGTGTACATGTTTTTTTTTTTTTTTAAAAAAAACCTACAACAGGAGACGGTTGCATATTCAATCATGTCTTCAAAAATAGCCAGGAAGTGCAGAGCACTACGGGCAGTATAAGTGATTTTAATGCAGTGTGAGAGGTGAATGACTTAGTTTGAATATACAGGGAATATTTTCAGTAGATTTTTTTTTTTTTCACTTTGTAGAGGTGTTCTTGGAACTTAGAATATTTATAGGCCTTGAATTTCATTAGCTGTGTGTTGTGTAGATGAGTGTTCTCAGAAGAGCTCAGTGATCTTACAGCCTCGTTGCAGCTTCAGACTCAGCTGGGAGGTAAGTGCATCTGAAATTTCCCTCTAGTTGAGCACAACAGTGTATTACAGTAATCAATATTTGATGGTTTTAGGAAAGCAAAGTTCGTAGCTACAAACAGTAAGTGGTCCAAGTACTAAGCTATCCAAGCCAGAATGTCTTTGAAAAAAAAAACAACAACCAACAAGGTATGTAAAATAAATAAATAAAAGGGCCCTTTTATTGCCAACAACCAGGTTAATTTATGAATCAACTAGCCAACCAAAGTATGAGAACTTCTAGAAGCACTTGATTTTAAATAAGGTTTGATGCTTCCCTTTCTAGTTTTCCTTTAAATCTCAGTGTGGATAGAGGTGCACTGACTTTGATTTTGGAGGAATACGAGATAAATAAGACCTTTTTTCTATATTAGCCTATGCAACTCTAAACCAAATTTTTCTCATTGATTACAAACCCCTTTCCCCAAGGGAAAAAAAAAGCAAACCACCAAACCCTGTAAGAGTTTACCACTTCAGACAGATTTTTCTCTCTTGGCTAAATAAACTCAGATAGTGAAATGAATGTCTTTGAATCTTTGGCAATTCAGAAATGAGGAGGTTGGTTAGCCAGACAAAAAGGGTTCTGAGTAGGCTTTTGGTGTAGATTGTGTCACTGTTTGCATCAGCAAAGGATACTAGAGAGGTCTTCAAGGTTGCTGTGTCTGCTTAGTGGGCTTTGTTGTTACTGCAGGACCCACCTCTCAGTGCAGCCACAGAAGTTAATTCGACAGTCTGAGTAACAATGAGCTGCCAGAGCCATTATGGCTGGAGAGGTAACCAAAGTAACAAGACAAAGCTGTTTTCAGTTTTGCTGCCGTTATTTTCTCTTTTAGCATTGCCTAGGAGCTGCCTTTAAAACCCCTGGGACTTACACACACTACACAGTTAGATGCTGTAGGGGACGATCTCGAGGATGTGGGGAGGAACAACAGGACAGTGAGACACTCAGAAAAGCCCTTGAACAACATAACTGATGGCAGAGTGAAGGGGACTGAATTAGCAATGACTGCTCCCAGGTCTGGGATTCAGGGTCCAGGTGTCCTGACATTGCAGCAGGGACTGTGCTGCCAGCAGTGCTCGTGTGTTGCTCACAGGGTTGATACAGTAAATCCCATCTCTCCTCACAGGAGGGGTTTGATCCTAAGGCTTAATATAGGAAAAAAACATAGACCCGTAGAAGAGTGCAGTACTCTCCTCTGGCTCCAGTCTCACTTCTGGGGGTACACACAGTGGGAACAAATGCCTCTGGGAGTGGGTGCTGCAAGCCTTCCAACAGTAAAGATCTTAAGGGACTGTAATAAATGCCCCCGAGTGCAAATCACCTTAACGATTTTCCCAAGTTGTTTTTTTTAATCTGAGCATCTGACAAACAGTGTCTCTACATCCTCACAGAAAGAAATAGGGAGATACAACTGAGGAGCAGAGCAAGAAAGGAATTCCAGGATTGCTAAGGCCAGTTCCTCCCTCCACCTGAACCTTTCCAGGGTTCACCTCTCCCCCTGGCAGAGAGAAGCACTGACCCACAGGCAGCTGTGCTGCTGGAGATGGGAACCTCTTGAACTTTTCTCGAGTATCTGAACGTCCAAGGGGGTTCTTCAGATCCTATCAGAGTGCCATTCTGAATAGCCAATTACAAGTTAAAAGCTCAAGTACACATAGAAACTGCTTTGAAAGCTCATATAGTGGTTTTTTTTTTTTAGCTTGTTTGAAGATAACAAGTGAAACGACGTAGCTGATTATTAACATTTAGCTTTGTACCTTACAGTGGAAGACCCGTGCAGGTATCCAGGACCAGCCTGTGTTAGCCAGTGGTCCTGGACAACCCACCTTTGAAACATATACTGAGTTAGTCTTAAGATGCTGTCTTCTTCAAACAGTCGTGGAATTACAAGCAAAAGTGTACTGTATCCTCTAGAAAAATGGAAAACAAGCTAATTCTAATATGTATGCTCTGACCAGTTTCCTGTGACGGTCTTATTAGCATTGCTTTTGAAGTGGCTGAGTAATATTTAAGAAGTACCTTGTTGTGTTTGAATAAAACCAGAATGAGGCATGAAGTTATGGACATCCTTTTATTTTAAAGGAATGTTTTTTTTTGGTTTTTATCCGATTTTCAACTACAAAACAGATTTCTTACATTCTGCCATAAATAAAAACGGACAATAAGGCAGTACACTACATGAACAAACTGAGAACAACTGTTTTCCAGAAAATGTGAATTAAAAATGCTTCACAAGTATAAGCCATCCAGTTTTTAAAATAAAACTGTTAAAAAAACCACAAGATTTCAAGTGGTAGATGTGAACACCCTCGAAGAACAAAATACAGTTTTGACATTTTTCACTTTAGGTTCTGAAAACTTAGTTTTGTTCAGAGCACATTCTAAGGTTGTTCGGGCTGTTTTCAGATCAAGAACCATATGAAAGAAGAGGCACCACAGTAACAAAACCATTTTCAAGGATTTTTTTTGTTTGTTTGTTTGTTTGCAGCTGTCCCTTTTAAATGCTTGACTTTTGAGAGACTGATTCAATGCAAGTCTTTGTCTGTCACAGCAGAACCCCAGACTTGTTTCACCGGATTCTCTTTTGCTGTCGTGCTCTGTAAATGTCATGTACAGGGGGAACTACGGATCCTTTCTCCTCGTCGTCATCAGAATCCTCATGTGATCTCTTCACAGTCTTGTTGAGGATGGTGCTGTTTTCCACAGGTCCATTGCCCTCCACAGCTATTTCTGGCAGACCGCCGGTGATGATCCGCACAGCTTCATCGACAGCTTTGGAAAGAGGCACAGATTCATTTGAGTTGTGAAACTAAAGTCCCTGATCAGAAATCAGCATGCCAACGGGGACACCAAGAGAGAGACGTTGTGGAGATTTCCAGAACGTAAAACATTTTTCCTGCCCTGTTCCGCAGATATTAAGCCTTGACTGTCTGAAACTCTGAGCAATGATGAACGCTAATTACAAAGTAGATGTTGCTGCTTCAGCTTGAGCCCTCCCTCTACACAGGCATTGAGGTCACCTGTGAGCTTAAATAAACCAGGGAGGCCTACTGGGGAGCAGTATAACTAGTTCATGATTCACCAGAAAGTAGGCAGAGCAGTTTCTGCTTATCAACAGAGGAAGCCCCAAAAATACTGCATATGATTTAAATAGATATTTTATTTTCACTCAAATTCAATCCTAGCTTGCTTTCTCTGTGATCTCCCTTAGCTTGTCCCCAAGGACATGCATTCAGAGTTATGCCCACCAGTGAACTGCTGCAAATCTCTAATTCCATGTTACAGCCACGATGCTGCTGGAAGTAATGCCCTGCTGCTTTTACAGGATATTCTGAAAGTCTGAATTTCTTTCCTTCAGTGGTTATCTCACCAACATCTTATTAAAGGAGCAGCTGGTGATTTTCAGCTTTTTGGCTTTTTGTTATCTCCCCCCAGGTAAATGTACAAACGTCTCTATGTAGATTCCAGCCTAGAAACAAAGCCAATCTCTTTTGCTCTTAAACACAAATTGCACATCTGTAAATGAGGTCTGGATTTCAGACAGCAACATCCATATGTAAAACCATGTCTTATGCAGCACTGTCACAGCTTCCAGAGAGGACAAGTAACTTACTGTCTGGCAGTTTGCATCTTCTAAATATCTCCATGAGCTCATCCACTTGAACAAAGGGACCCTGATTTGTTATCAAAAAAAAAACCAAAAAACCAAAAAAAAAGTTTAGAAGGTTATTTTCAATAGAGTGATACATACTGTGGCTCTGTCACAACAGAATCTCTTCCACAGCTTTCTGAAATTTTGAGAATGCATTAAAACAAACCTGAAAACAAATAGGAGGTGGCAGGAGCTTCATGAGAACTACAGCTGCTGGTGGAACAGGAAATACACCACCTGGGACGGGATGTAAACCTGGAGCTGTGGGAAGAAAAACTATATGAAGCCAGTGCAAGACAGCTAGACCAGAATTGTTCTTGCAGCATTAATATCTGATGCAAATAATTGCTACCCTGTCCCTTTGGCCTCTACTAATTACATATTGTTTAGTCAGTGATCTGGTCTATGAGCAGTGTGTGTAACAGCTTATTATCATTTAACCCAAACTACTCGTACTTATTTCCATGTGACCTTAATACTAAGTAAAACATACACAGTGAAATAACAGCCTCAAATTTAAGTACAGGTTTAGCTGACTGGAGACTGGGGAAGTCTCTGATTAGGCTGACTCAACACCCAGGTTCGTAACTCGCCGCCAGGTGAAACACAACCCCCCCGACCGAGGCCTGACTTACGTGCTAAGTGTCTTGGCTGAAATGGAATCATCTGCTGAGTGTCCGGTTTTGGATATTCGGGTTTTCTGTCTACTTCATCCTTGAGAACAGGCACGATGGAAGGTGCAACCACAGGGTCTGGAATTATTGCTGCTAGCTTGGCACGGGAGACATCCTGAGAAAGGCAATCAGAGTGCTGAACTCGGCAGGACCACATGGTTGGTTTAAATTACAGAACAAAACATCTTGTCATCATTATAATTTCAGATGTCCTCTTACAAGACCATCTGGGCAGAACTTGCATGTTTTCATCAAGCATTTTAGTCCCAGCTGGGAGTGGAAACACTTGTTTCTGCTACTGAATGGGCCCATGTTTGTCATTTTTGAGCGACCCCATTTTTAGGTTAAAAAGATTTAGGTGAACAGGTGCAGACCACTAGGCCTTCACAACTATCATTTCTCCCTCATTTCATTCCCTAGATTGCTTTAGCTGGATAAGAAATAAAGCATAAGGCAGTCAGCAGGCATGCAAAGCATCAGTTCAAACAGGATTACGTTTTGGCACGTTACAAGCAACAGGAATCAGCCCAAGGGCTGAACCATCTTAGGTACACACTGCCCTGCAGGCACCTCGCAAGAACTCTCTTGTACCCACACCTTTAACTTCAAAATAACTTTGTCCCTACTGCATTCAAAGGAAAGTGTTCAGTGGCTCAATGTGACTCTGATTTCCACCTATCAGATTATTTTACAGCTCCGTGGTGAGCAACAATTCAGCTGCTTTGCTAACTTTGATGTCATCTGTATTTTTCATAAATTACTCTTTCTGTGTAAGAAATAACTGGAAGCTGAGGCACTGTTTTAGAGACGTAAATTGAAGGCCCTCTTCCTGTCCATGCAAATGGCAATCAGCTCTTTCTCTAGCAGCCTATTTACTTCACGCTTAAAAAAATATTACCCAACATTTTATCCTGTTCTATTGGTTTTGGAAGCGTTATGGCCTTCCACATGACTGAAATAGTAGTTAAAATATATGTGGTGAGAAACAAGACAGGAGACCACCAGATAACAGGGTCTGGCCCAGACTTTAAGTTCCAAATGGCAGCACCAAAGCACTTTAGCCATAAGAAACAACAGAAACAAGCAGGCAGCCACTGATCTCTGTGGACAGTTTTCCTCAGCCACTGGCAGCAAACACAAGGACTGCAGCCTGTTTGGTTTGATACAGTTCTCAGTGAAATGGGTGGAGTGTTGCCACCTTGGAGTGGAGGGACAGCCAGTGATGTTTCACACAGATGGCCCAATTCAAGAAACTTCTGAAAGAGTTTGGGTTTTTGAAAGAGCTCGGGCTTATGTCGGAAGTGGAGGCCTGTGCTGAGTGGTGATGGCACAAACACATCGACCTTTCCGTGGGAAGATGAAAGGTAAATATGAAGACATGAGGCTGCAGTCGTTAGTTGTGTTCCTGCTCCTTTCTGTCCTTGGCCCACTAAGCAAAGCCTGGCACTTTGCTGCCCAATGAGACAAGGAGGAGGAGAAGGCCTGTTTTACCTGCTTTTTCCTCAGGGGGGAAAAGTGTAAGGCAAGTGCTAAACAAGGAATTCCTCAAGTTTACTGGGACTGAAAAGCACAACAGTAAATTGAAGTGTTCTTACCCACTCACCTTATAACCAAGGGCCTTGAGTTCACTAGCAGAGCAGGGGTACAAGTCCATGAACTTGTACCTGTCCACCAGCAGAGCTGTTTCTTTGCCCTCATATTCCTCCTTGAATGCTGTGAACCTCCTCTTCTCAACTTTCAGTATGCTGGCTAAATCACCAATGTTACTTTCAAAGGCTAAAAACCGAGCCCAGATTTCACTGTAAAAGAACAGACACAGTGACAGTTCCTGAAGGAGAAAGAATTACTGACCACAGCCCAGTTAAAGAACACAAAGGAAGGACTCAAAGGAGGCGATCTGGGAGCACGTGGCCATTTCTCTGATTTACTTCAGATGCACCTCACACATGCATTGCCATCCCAGTGCCTTATATATTTCTGTAAAAACTTTCAATCTAGTGGACTGCAAAGGACTTTGTTATGGAAAGGAAAGGATTACTGGTGTCAAGGATTTAGCATCTGAGGTAAGCTTTTCTCGATGTAAGACACACAAACATGTGTCAAGGACTTTTCAACATACATTATGATCTAGTTCTTCTGCACAGACCAACATATTCTGGCTGGCAAGAGCAGTAACCTGTGACACAGCAGGCACTGCTTCAGAATTTTACATAGTCCAAAAATATATATAATTACTGCAGATTTCTCTGTGGAAAATCTCATATATAACTTAAGCAACATCCAACCATTTTTCTGGACTTGATTCAACTTTCATTTTAGCCTTGGAATTCACCTTTGAAGATGATTCAGCTTTTAAATTCTTGGGTTTTCTCACTTTTAAAATGGACATAAATGTTATTTCTCACAAAAAAATCAGGATTAAAGTGCAGAATGAATATGTACAGCAGTGACATGTTTGATTGCTTAGTTTTGATGCTTATGTCTATCAGAATAATACTGGTGAACACTCAGACTGCAAGGGCTGGGTAAGTTGTGGTTTTTTTGAGAAATCAACTTAAAAAGTAGCAAAGAAAATGTGGTGGTGAGTGGTTAATCCAAGTCTTGTCTAGTTTTTTTCCTATTTTATTTTCAGTTGGCTGGGAGGTGTTCAGCACCCTCCTCAATAAATTCCTGACTCACCTCCTCCGCTCAAACTATTGAATCCTTACTGCTCATTGAATCCCCCTGCTC